TATATACCAACGCAAATCACCTCCCAATCCACACACGTAACTCCACAATATAATCGTCACGAGGTAAGAGAAAGAAAATCAATAAGGCTCAAAAGGGGTGACTAGCGACATTATTCTCAGAAAAAAGAAAAGGGAAGGGAAAAACAAAGAATGCCTCAATCATATTCACGTTCACAAATCCAGTTATTTCATTTCATAGCAGACTCAAGGCGAATTCTAATTGATAACGATTCCGACCAATAACTCACAAGAAAAGAAATGAATGTGGCTCAAAGCCTCACAAGGTAAAATAAATGTCAACAAAACAACTAAGCCAATTCATCGAAATGTGACACTCATTCTCATCATCACAACTTCCTAACTCAATCAACCAATCATCAACTAGTCTTACAATATACCAAAGTCCAAGCTCACAAAGACACCACAAATAATCCTAAAAACTATATTGGACCACCACGCAATAGAAAAGAAATAACGAAATAAACGCAATCCTAAAAGGAAATACTAGACCTGGTCAACCACATAATCACGTAAAACTCCCCCACACTTAAAACCAGACAATGTCCCCATTGTCGAGTCGCGGTGAAGGAGAGTTAGACCATATAACAGACCAACGCAAAAACAATAACAAAGAAGCTGTACACAAAAAAAAAAGAGAAAGTGAAAAAGAGAACATACAAAGCACAGTGACAAGTCACTGTGCATCTGGAGGTGATGGTGGCTGGTGAGGGTGACTGGGACCCGAACCCCAACGGGTGTCCCACTGAGTGAAACGCTGGTCCCAGCTGTTCATCCGAGCGTCCTGCTGGTCCTGCCGCTCGCGGATGGACTGGAGGCCGCCAGCGAAGGTATCAAACTGCGTACCCATCTGAGTCCAGTGGGTCTGCTGCTGGGTCTCCCACTGGTCCCATCGAGTGTTCTGCTGTGTCTCCTAGCTGGTCCACTGCGTGGTCTGTCGGCTCTCGAGGGCAGCCCATCTGCTGTCCTGGGCGTCAAAGCGATCGTGGATAGAGCGGATGTCGGCTGTGTACTGAGTCTGAAATGTGGACCACCATTCCGGTGGCTGCGGCGGGGGAATCTCCAGGTGAGGGTTTGGAGCCGGCGTCCATTCGGGTGGAGGCGGAAGTAAATGGTCCTCGTCGACATGCATCTGCTCATGCTCGTCGCCCTCCGTCGGTTGCCGAGACGACCCTGCCGGATCGGAATTAGGCTGACCCTACTGGAGCTTTTTGAAATAGGTGTCGTAGGCGGTGCGCTTTGTGTACTCCTTAGCCGTAGTCCGGTTCCGAATAAGGTCGGCCTGCTTGAGCTCGTTGTAGTTGAGACATCGCATCTCAGACCGCTCCTGAAGCGCTATCTCACCATGTAAACGGTAGACTTCTGGGGTGATGTCGAAATAGTAGCGGCAGTGGACGAAGCGGAAGCGAGAATGTCCTGTTGATGGTGAGTGAAAAAGAGGAATCTGGACTTGGCCCTTGGGCTGGGCAGCTTTTATCCGACGCCTCTTCCGAGTGCGGTAACAAAGTGCCCAAGTGCCGGTAGTCCACGCCGAGTGAGGGCAATCTCCTGTAAGGAGTTCTGTAAGAACGTCATCGAACACACCCGCACTCCTGCTCGCATCGCCCATAGGAGGAAAAGTTCGACTTCACTGACTTTATTCGCCTCCTTTTTGCCGATAACGTTGTAGCAGATGAACCGATGCACAACGGCAGTGGCCAGGTCTTCGATAAGCCCGTTGGACATGCCGGCAGAATCCCAAGTCGTATGTGTGGAGAGTTCGGCCCAACTCTTCTTGGCGTCGAAGTCGAGGGCCTTGCTTCGTGTACCGGAGAAATTGAAACCGCACACGTCCTTCATCACCGCATTATCCACCATGAGGTCCTTCCTCTTAAGTCGACAAGTGAAGTACTTGTTCCCATCGGCGAGAACGAATGTGCTGAAGAACTCAAGCATGAGGTTCGATGCGAGCGCTCCTCTATTTTGGCGTAGTCGGTGAGGTTCAAAACCTTGAGGTACTTCATCACGTCTTCCAGAATACCCAAATTGTTCAAGAGGTCCCAGTCCACCGCCTTCGGTCTCACGACCTCCTTTTGCGAGGGTCGGGCATAAATCTCGCCCTCCTTCCGAGAATAAATCGGAAACGGAGCCCCGTATTGGTCCGAAAGATCATCTCGTTCACCTTCCGAAGGGGCATCTCAAGAGGAGGATTCGCCCGCTTGACGCTTCCTAGGCGGTTCTTGAGTGGTTTTTTTCTTGGTGGGACGAAACGGATTCTTGCTCATTTGAACGGTCTATCGGGCAATATGTCGAACACTTGGCGTGCGGAACTTCGAACTAAAAACTTGGGAACAATACGAAATGGCTCGATCCCGGAGTTGGCCTCCTCACGCCTCAACAATAACCAAACGCAAAGTATAGGAAGCTATCGGTACCTTTTCGCGCGAATTCGAACCCGAAACGAACAATCCACGAGCAAGGTAGGAATGATAAATGCGGACGGAATAAGAACCGCCGGTGCTCGTGGTCGTGGACCGCCGGATGACTGAAGAGGGTCGTGGTCGGAGGATGTTGCCGTGGGTAGGTCGTCGGAGAGCGCGGAATGCCGGAGGTCGGTCGGAATTGGTGGTGAATTCACGGCTAGGGTTCGGAGGGTGAAAATCCCGCGCGTGGTTTGCAAGAGAATGGAGGGTGATTGTGTCGCCGGAAATCGCGGGATGCCGGAGGGACGTCGCCGGAGAGCGGTTGATCGGCGATGGTCGGCGGTTGGTCGGAGGTGAAGTGCAGTGGAGTCGTCGCTACGGCCGTTCGAAATTGGTGAGAGATGGGGTTATGTGTTCAAAGAGGGAACCACAGGATTAAATCGTGTAATCGCGGTCGCCGCGGCCGCGGGGGATGAATTTAAGCGCAGAAATGGTAGTCTCGCGAACGACACAACGCCGCGACCGCGACAAAGAAATCTCTCGCGGCCGCGACTCGACTCCGCAGTCGCGAGAATTCTCCGAGGCCGTGAGATTTGTCCTGCAGAAATCGGCATCGAATCCGCACAAATGATCGCCGTGGCCGCGGCGAAGAAAAGCCCCGCGGCCCGCGGCGACATATTCTTTTTATTTTTTTTAATAAATACATATAAATATATAAATAAATAGAAATATAAATATATATAAATATATATACAAAAAGTACAAAAATGCTCAGTTTAAAGCCGGGAGCTCGGCACCATTCAGAATCAAGGATACGGTGGGTCGCCGAGACTGATAGTCTCGACATGTTGCTTCCCGAACTCTCCTTCAAAGTACGGCTTCACTCGTTGTCCATTGACTACAAACATCTCATCATTTGCCGAATTTCAGAGTCGAACAGCTCCAAAAGATAACACTTCCTCAACAATATACGGTCCACTCCAACGTGACTTGAGCTTCCCGGGAAAAAGACGAAGGCGAGAATTAAAGAGGAGTACCTTCATTCCGGGCTCGAGGTTCTTCCGAACAAGAGTGGCATCATGAAGCTTTTTTGTCTTCTTCTTGTAGATTTTAGAATTCTCATAAGCTTCATTTCTCCACTCTTCTAATTCCGAGAGTTGCAGCATCCTCTCTCGCTCGACAGCATCAAGATTGAAATTCATCTTTTTGATTGCCCAGAAGGCCTTGTGTTCGATCTCAACCGGAAAATGGCATGATTTCCCGTAGACGAGCCGGAACAGGCTCATCCCCAATACTCCCTTGTATGCCGTCCTTTGGGCCCAGAGTGCATCATCGAGCCTGCACGACCAATCCTTCCTAGACGAATTCACTGTCTTCTCAAGAATGGTCTTGATCTGCTTGTTACTCGTTTCTGCCTGACCCGAAGTTTGTGGGTGGTATGGAGTGGCGACCTTGTGTGAAATGCTGTATTTCTTCATCACTTTCTCAAAAATACGGTTACAAAAGTGTTTGCCTCCATCGCTCACAACAACTCGTGGGAATCCGAACCTGCTCAACACATGTCCCTGCAAAAACTTGATGACCACTTTAGCATCACATGTCCTTGTGGGGATAGCTTCAACCCACTTGGACACGTAATCTACGGCGAGAAGAATATACTCAAAACCACAAGATTTGGGAAACGGGCCCATAAAATCAATGCCCCATACATCAAAGATTTCAACTTGAAGATTATTAACTAAAGGCATTTCATTTCTTGGACCAATATTCCCAATTCGTTGACAACGGTCACAAGATTTACAAAAAGTATAAGCATCTTTAAAAAGGGTCGGCCAGAATAAACCTGATTGGAGGACCTTAAGGGCGGTCTTTCGACCTCCAAAATGTCCCCCACACTGAAGCTCGTGGCAAAAAGCAAGGACATCCGGTTGTTCTTCTTCGGGCACACACCTCCGAAGGATCTCGTCTTTTCCCATCTTGAAAAGGAATGGGTCATCCCAAAAGTAACTCCTACACATCAACACAAAACGTTTCCTCTCTTGGGAAGAGAGGTTAGACAATAAGACACCATCTGACAAGTAATTGACGATATCAGCATACCAAGGAACACTAACTACTTCACTCACATACTCATATGGGAAGCTATCATTAATGTCAACATGTTCATGCAAGGTGGGAGAATGCTAAGTAGGGACAATGCGAGAAAGATGATCAGCAACCACATTTTCACAACCTTTCCTATCACGAATTTCTACATCAAACTCTTGCAACAATAGAATCCACCGAATGAGTCTAGGTTTCGATTGAGTCTTACTCAAGAGATACCTAAGAGCCGCATGGTCAGAATGAACAATCACTTTAGATCCTAGAATGTAAGATCTAAACTTTTCTAAAGAAAAAATAACAGCCAAAAGCTCTTTCTCAGTGGTGGTACAATTTAATTGGGCGCCATTAGGAGTCAAACTAGCATAATAAATTACACGAAGTAACTTATCAACTCGTTGACCCAACACAGCCCCAACAGCAAGGTTCGAAGCATCACACATAATTTCAAAAGGTAAAGACCAATCAGGTGCAATCACAATAGAAGCAGTCACAAGCTTATCTTTCAATATAGCAAAAGCCTCTACACATGCATCATCAAACACGAAAGGCACATCATTAGCAAGCAAGTGACACAAAGGCTGGCTGATTTTCGACAAATCTTTAATAAATCTCCTATAAAAGCCAGCATGACCCAAAAAACTTCTAACTCCCTTAACATTCACAGGAGGGGGGATTTTTTCAATCACATCGATTTTTGCTTTATCAACCTCAATGCCACGATTAGACACCACATAGCCTAACACAACTCCACTAGTCACCATAAAATGACTTTTCTCCCAACTCAAGGTCAAATTAGATTCAATACATCTTTCAAGCACACGAGATAAATTATGGAGATAATTAGAAAATGAAGTACCAAAAATAGAAAAGTCATCCATAAATACCTGCAGGCAATCCTCAAGCATATCGGAGAAAATGGAGAACATGCACCTTTGGAAGGTCCCGGGTGCATTGCATAGGCCGAAAGGCATCCGCCTGAAAGCAAAGGTGCCGAATGGGCACGTGAAGGTCGTCTTAGGCTGGTCCTCTGGCGCTATGGCTACTTGGTAGTAGCCGGAGAGTCCGTCTAAGAAGCAGTAGAACTGGTGGCCCGAGAGACGGTCGAGAATTTGATCGATGAACGGTAACGGGAAGTGATCTTTTTTCGTCACGGCATTGAGGCGCCGATAATCTATGCACATTCTCCACCCGGTAGTGATTCGAGTGGGGACCATCTCCTTCTTCTCGTTTTCGATCACCGTGATACCCCCTTTGTTCGGAACTACATGTATGGGGCTGACCCACTCGCTGTCCGCCACAGGGTAAATGAGCCCTTCTGAATAGAGCTTGAGCACCTCCTTCTTCACTACTTCCATCATATTTGGGTTGAGCCGCCGCTGGCTATCCCGAAATGGCTTGGCACCTTCTTCTAAGATGATTCGATGCATGCATGTGGAGGGGCTGATGCCTTTTATATCTCCGAGGCTCCACCCAATAGCTTTCTGATTCTTCTTTAGCACCTCAATTAGCTCATTCATCTCGTCCCGGTTAAGCTCGGCAAAGATGATAACCGGCTTTTGCTTCTCGTCATCTAGGAAGACGTACTTGAGATGGCGGGGTAATTCTTTAAGCTCTAATGCGGGTGGAGTAGGTGCGTGTGGCTCGTCAGCTGCGAAAAGCTCAATGATTGGCTCTTCTTCGTCATCAAGGTTAGGCATTGACCTCTCTTCGTAGTCACGTACAGTTGTCTCCTCCACAAACTGGTCGGATATGTCAACGAAGGTGCACTCCTCCACAAAGTTCACTGAGGATGCAGAGGTGGCTTCTCGGACTGAAATAGAAACGGACTCGCCCAAGACCGTCATATTCAATGTCCCGTTCTTCACATCGATGAGGGTGTTGGTGGTGGCCATGAATGGTCTGCCCAGAAGGATTGTGTGATCCTTCCTGTTCTCCTGTACGTCTCCCACATCTAGAACAACGAAGTCCACCGGGACGATAAGTTTCTCGACACGAATAAGAACATCCTCAACCACCCCCTTGGGGTATCTAATCGAACGGTCAGCCAGCTGGAGGCACATACGGGTTGGTCGCAAGTCTCCGAGACCCAATCGCTGAAAGATCGAAAACGGCATAAGGTTGATTCCCGCTCCGAGGTCAAGCATCCCCGAAGCCTTTTTTCCGTTCCCGAGAGCGATTCTTATCACGAAACCCCCAGGGTCCCGTTTTTTCTTTGGAAGATCATGCTGCATGGCACTCGCTGCCTCGTAAACCACCACTTTCTCCCCATCTTCGAACTTCCTCTTCTTCGTGACCAAATCCTTGAAGAACTTCACGTAAGAAGGCATGTTCTTGATCACGTCCAGGAGA